TTTAATTGTTCGCATTTATTCCATTATGTTTACCCATATGTTTAAAACAATTAGGCTACAACATCATAGCTGCCAAGTCAAAAAGTAATAATTATGAAAATGTAATGTCTATTTAGCAAGTTCTAACAAAACTTCAATTTTAGTTTAATTTTTTGTCGTACGGATAGATGGTAGAGATAATAGTTACAGATTTTCCCGAAAATCAATTAGTCAGTGTGACTGATATACACGAACAAGCCATTTAATTTTTTTTTGGTTCAGTACTATATATTATATATTATATTGCTAAGTACCTACTATAGGAATAGTTGTAGATTATCGAGAAAACATTTTCAGTGTTTAATGGTTTCGCGGCAGTAGTAATATTGGATTTACGAAATAAATTATAAACCAGAATTGCTACGAGAAAGAAAAAATTACTTAATGTTGAAAGAAAATTCTTATATCAGTAATCGTCAACAACTAGGTAATCTAGTATTACACTAATCTATGGCTATTCGCGCCAAATTCAAGTGTCATCTTTCATAATATAGAAATACATCAAGAACTCCACGACTGTGACTTTAGTTTACTCGAGTAAAATTAATTAATATAAGATAATAATAACAATTGTGACTAATTACCAAACCAAACCAAACCAAACTAAACTACTGGTTAGTGATTAATAATAAATATGTTATTTTGACATGGCAACGTATGATATTTTTTCAAAAATTATTAAAAAAAATAGTAAAATTCGAAAAATTCGGAATAAGTCACGAATTATTAAGACTAGGTATATGATATACCTTATAAAAGTTGAAGAATTTTGTAAAATCTATTAGAAAAAATGATAATATATAGGGTGTGCCATTTAAAAATTTGAGATTTTTTAATTTTAAATAGTTGGAATTCATAAATATATTTTGAACACCCTGTAGCATGTAACTAAAATACTTACTACAACTAAAATACTTTACATATGTCTTTTTCTTTATCTCTATAAAACTCTGCTACCAAATTTTATTAGTCTCACTTCATAAACAATGGTATTACTGACAATTTTTTTCAACACTGAAATCTAACATTTGTTTAAACAAATTCAAATATTACAAAAACTTATAATTTTAGATATGTACATTATATATAAAATAGAAAACAAATTTCTTGCAGTATAGGTATATAATAAAAGTATATAAGGATTCTTGCCACTTAACTGCTTATATAGAAATTTAATTCTACGCTGTGGTTGTCAATTCGGAATTATCTATCTCTGCGCTGTGGTTGTCATTTTGTGGATCTGCCCAAGCTCACCTGATGATGGAGTAGGGTTCCGAAACCGGTAGTGAGAGCAGGTTGATTCACATTATGACAAACACAGCGTAGAACTGAATTTCTATATACGCAGTTAAGTGGCAAGAATCCTTATATAATTTTATTATATACCTATACTGCAAGAAATTTGTTTTCTATTTTATAATTTGGCTTGCCTGAAAAAAAGCCTTTTACCATCCTTTTACTATCGGTAGTTGAGGCCCGGTAGTACGAAGGTACTACCATTGCACGCAGGCCGCTATCTCCCGTTCGGGACTTAATCTCTAACCGACACTTTTCGACAAGTCGGAATTAACTATCTCTGCGCTGTGGTTGTCATTTTGTGGATCTGCCCAAGCTCACCTGATGATGGAGTAGGGCTCCGAAACCAGTAGTGAGAGCAGGTTTATTCACATTATGACAAACACAGCGTAGAATTAAATTTCGATATGAACAGTTAAGTGGCAAGAATCCTTATATAATTTTATTATATATAAAAAAGTTATAGAATTTTACGCAGAATCTAAAAATAAAATAAAATTAGGGTGATGCATTAAAAAAAACATACATATGTTATATCTGCCACACATTTTTGAAGCACTCTGTATACTCCGTAATAAATTTTAAGGTGTGTATCTTAACTGTCCCTATAAATTTAATATTTTTTTGTAAACCTCCAAACCAATGAGATAATGGACTTTACCCTATCGTTGACTCACCCTGTACAAACAGTTAGTCTGATCCACGTCAACTCGATGGAAATTTTAATTGTTTTTAATTAACAATGTATATGTATGTCGCAGGTGCATAGAATAATCCGGCTTTTTAAGACTAGGCATATTATAAGACGCCGGCTTTTTATACAAAAGAAGGCATTTTTACAAAAAGCCTGTTTATTTTCAGTCACTTTGCAAAAAGCCTAATCAGAAAGCATATTAAGCAATGACGATATTTTCTGTACACTTTTGCAAAAAGACTACCTGTTTTCAGTCGTTTTCTAAAATACCAAATCGAGGCCAGGCAGATTAAAAAATGATCAAAGTTTAGTCAGCTATATGAGCAATACCCCATATTTTTCTAGACAAAACAATAATTTATGTCAAAATTTTATTTTGTTTCGACGAAAACAACTTGAACACTATTTCATAAATTATGATTATAATTAACATAATTTTAAATACTTTTTGTGTTTTAAATACAAAATATATTAAAAGCTTAATATTAATCATGTTCATTTAATTATTGTATCATTCATTTAACTATTATACTCGGTAATTTGATTCTGTGTACAGAGCTTCTTCTTTGTGGAAGTGTGCTTTCTTTTTTTGGAATTTTTATTCATTTAGAATAAAATGAATTTAGATCTTTAATAATCGTCCTTAACCATACTCTATTAAACAGAATTATCACTTTTTGTGCTCCTATTTTCTAATTTTGGAAGAGAAATTCAAGAAATGTCATTGGATTAATTTAGGTTAGTTTTACCAATACCGCGTAAAATATTTTGTACAATCTTACTAGTCTTCATTAGCCATTTCGCTAAGCGTCTGAAAACAGATAGGCTTTTTGTAAAATATACTTCTATTGTTAAAAACTCCGGTTTTATAATAAGTGTTTTTGTAAGCCTAGTCTTTTTGCAAAAACCCCAATTAGAATTTAGAGTTAGTAACTCACATTTTTATTGGAGGACACTCTCATATTTATTTCAAACCAATAATCAACGGGAATATTTATATAATTTAATAAAATTATTGTAAATCATTATAAATAATGAATTGTTTGTAATTGAACTGTAATTTCTGTACTATTAATCCGGTAAATGATGGAGATAAACAATCGTGATTTCTGAAACTTTTGTAAGCAACATACTCGAGTATTCGAATATTGAATCATAAAATAATTAACTAGAAAGAAGTGTCAACTCTGTGCTAAATCGTGGAAACACGATACGCCACCGAAAGCCTTCGCTGTCGTCTGGAGAACTAATTTTCCAATTGACAGGACATGATGGCTTATATGATAAGGACATGATGGCTTAATTTTCATTTCCGTTTCCGGTTATTCAATGGCGGGCCCTCTTTCAGTTCAAATGTATTTTGTATTTTTTCTTTTCATAAATAAAACCAAAAAATAATTTATTCAGACATATTTATTTGAAATATGAAACAACGTGACTAAATAAAAATAAAAATATAGAGGATTGTATTGTTTCAATACCAATTAGTTAATTATATGTACTTTTAACGTAAATTAGTTAAGGTATAAGCACGACTTACAGTAATTTGTAAATAAACACACGTATTCGCAGACTTCAAGGACACAAAACGGACACAGGAACATGAAAACGGGAGCTTTATACAAAAACCTGAAAACAGAAAAACACATTTTTTTATACTAAAATTAACAATGTAAAAATATCAATAGGTATAAAATATAAATATACTGTTTAAAAAAGCGCCCATTATTCCCAAAGAGACCTGGCTTATAAATCAAAAAGAAGCAAAAAGAGACTTTTAGTCGGATAACATAATCAGATTATCAGTCCGATTTATTGCATTATTGACAATAAATCGCACATACTGGAGATAACTAATGTTGGCTATAGTTAAAAATGATCTTATCTTGCTGTAAATTGTTTCCATTTTCAAAAAAATCGCGCATCAAAGAGATTATAACACCATTTTCTTGCATCTAAAAAATGTAAAAACAGTGTTTATTTACTACCTATTTCATATACATGGGACATACCTACTACTGCAGAAACGTCATTTTCTCCAGGTTTCTTCATGTAATATATATTTTATATACTTTATTACCTTTATATTTATAAATTTCAGCTGAAATATTAAATTGAACCACAACGAAACTAAACGGAATTAATTAAAATGGCGTCGAATATGTTCTAATTTGTTCTAGAACAAATCTGAAGTTGTCTCTGAAACTGAAATCTGTCAATTCTAAACTGTGAAGGTAGACAATAGTTAGACAAAAACAATGCTGTCCTTGTCTAGGCGGCCATATTTGTCGTGAGGAGAATGACAGGAATGACACTAATGACTGTTTCCAATTTTCCTATTTCACTGTCACCCCTCTGTATTGAATTGAATAATGACAAGATAAGTGACACCTGTCTAAAAAAACAGCGATTTAGAGTGACAGTTGGTGTAAAATTTAGAGTGACAATTTTGATTATGCAAAAGAAATATATATTCCATGAGTTTACTGGTTGCCTAATGATTTAACATTAATTTAAAAATAAATCCCCAACATAAATAATGAACAAAACTTTTAAACAAAAACAGACCACAGACCACACAAAACAAATTGTTGGTTAGTAGCAGTTAGCAGTCGATGTAGTAGTATTTTGGTTTAATCTGCCAGGGCTATCCGGACGGGTGATAGAATTAATTCTTGATAGAATTAATTTTTAATAAAAATTAAAAAAAAACGTTATAAAATATAAAGCTAGAACAATATACGGTTTTATATTAACTCTAAATTTTTTGAAATTTATAAAAAGCATTCATAAAAAATATATATCCTTCAAATCCTTCCATTTAATAGCTGTTAGTAAGAAATTTCGCTTAAAATATGCGCATATAGTGCACACACAATTTTTTTTCTCCTTGCCTTATTATTATAATTTATACCATACGACAAATTTAGTTATATAAAAATATCTTAACTACTTTTTTCCTTTCTTTTAGGTAATGTTTTCGTTATCGCCGCTATTCTTCTCGAGAGGAACCTTCAAAACGTAGCCAACTACTTGATCGTGTCCCTTGCTGTGGCCGATCTAATGGTAGCATGTTTAGTTATGCCCCTGGGAGCCGTCTACGTGGTAAGTGGTTTGATATTGTATTTTAGCATTTTACTTCCGGCTTTGCAAGAGCGCGCGCGAGGTTGGGGGTTCCGGCAGTCGCCACAGGCCGCTGCTGGAGATTAGATTTTAATTATTATAACGGTAGGGGTCGCCCTGTTTGCGCGGAGCGTTCTGAACTTCGTGTTCCTGTCTAATATTTCGATAATATAACTCGACTGGTGTACATTTGAGAATATAACTGCTTCTGAGATAAATTAACATTGTATGACATTGTTAGTAAAGTATGTATAATACAAATAACATTTTGAAATATCATTTTGAATATCTGTACAACAGAAGCAAAATATTAAATAACAAAACATACAGGGTGGCGCCTCTCATACGACGCGGAGGCTGCAAGGAGAATTACAGCTTGTATTGAAATGAACATTTGTGAGCATATGTAGGTTGATTTAGAGCATTTTTTAACAATATAGAGAGTTCTACAGGGTGTCCCCTAAAAAAGTTACACATCAAAGTTTTGTTTTTTTAATGGAACACCCTATATATTAATTGATTTTCGTATTTTAGGAGAAAAATAATGGTGAGTTTCATTAGAGAAGTATATGGCTAATATGTAAGGATTTTGACATATTTAACAATTACTAAAAAAGAACAAATTTAAAATTTCAATAAATGCTACCTAAATTATAATTTATCCGATATAGCGTATTATGTAGTTAAAATAACTATTGTACTTTAAATCAAATTAAAATTTGTCCCGTAAGTTATGAAAAGTGGGGGTGAGAGAAAATTAATATTGAACACTGATCACATTTAAAAGCAACTTACTTCTTTATTTGAAATATAACACCCGGTATATTATTTCAATACTCAATGGAGAATTCATATATCTTCAAAATACTACTAAGGTTTTCTACCCTTTAAACTACGATTTTCCTAGATATTTTCATTTTTATGATTTTGCGTCAGTAGATAGCATTATTTGATAAATATAGATGGCTATGATACACCTTTTGTTAATTTAACAAAAATTAATGTATGTAGAGTAACATATTCAACGGGAATAAAACGATACACGTTTAAAATATATTTTAATTATTACAAAATTGAAACTAGATATAAACATATAATTATGTAACAACAATTAGTGAGATGAAATCAAATGCTTAAAATTCTTGCTGTCCGCTGCATAAAATGATACCCTTTTCAAAAGATCGTTTCATATTAAGAGTCATATGGGAAGTTCTACTTCAAAAAGCAGCCACAATCATTTCTTTCATGTTGTTAACAATAGTTGGTCGAGTTTTGAAAACACTGTCTTTAACATATCCCGATAAAAAAGTCCATACTAGATAAATCGAGAGCATTTAAGTATTCTATTAATAGGTGAATGCTAGTTGTTAAAGTTAAACTAATTTGACATCTATGTTGAAATATCTTTAGACATATCACTGTTGCTGATCACTGATCTAGGCTGCCACCTAGATTTTACTAAATAATATAGATCTAGTGTCGCTAAATCATAAAAAAGAAAATATCTAGGAAAATCTTTGTTTGAGGGGTAGGCAACCTAAATAGTATTTTGAAGAGACACGAAATCCCCATTGAATATCGAAATAATATACTGGGTGTTTAAAATAAAAGAGTAACTTCCTTTTAAATGTGACCATTGTTCAATATTAATTTTGTCTCACCCCGTATAACTTTTTGGGTCAAGTTTTAATTTTATTTAGAGTACAATAGTTATTTTAACTACATATCAGGCTATACCGGGTAAATTCCAATTTAAGTAGCTTTTATTGAAATGTAAAATTTGTTCTTCTTTTTTAGAAAATGTTAAATATCAAACAGGATGATGCTGCCAAACCTTACATTTTAGCCATATACATCTCTAATGAAACTTGCCTTTATTTTTCTCCTAGAATCCGAAAATCTATTAATATATAGGGCGTTCTATTACAAAAAACACAACTTTGATGTGTAACTTTTTTTGGGATACCTTGTAGAACTCACTATAATTTAAAAAAAATGCTCTAAACTAACCTACATATTCCCACAAAATTTCATTTCAATAAAAACTGTCGTTCTCCTTGGAGCCTCCGCGTCGCGTCGTTTGAGAGGTGCCACATTGTAGTTAGATGTTTTGTGAAAAAGTTCTTTTCTAATTACTCGGTTATTTTTAAATCTACGATTGTAATATTTGGTACATGAACAACTTCTTTTGAACTTGAAATGTTAAACAATTTTTAAATAAATTATACAAAATTTTTTTTGACTGACTTAATATAAGGTGAGATTAAATTATATTAATCTTAACTTATATTAAGTCCCTATTTAGGCCCAAATTTAAAAAAAAAACAAATTCAAATCTAAATAAAAGTATATTACTGAAATAATAAAATAAATTTAACAGGAAATTGTAAAACAGAAATGTATGTTCCAATTTGGAACCAATTTACTAATTTTTTTAGTTTAAATTTACTATCCAATAATAGAAAAAACCGCGGACATAACATACTAACCAACTAATGATAATAAAAATTAATAAACTAACCAAAGATGTTTGAGCCAAACTGCGTTTACGTGACTTATGGTCAACCCTCGGTTGATCGACCGGCGGTCGGGACTCAACCTACGGTCCAACCCAATCGGGTACGAGCGTTGGCGTTACGATTGACAAACCGAGAGTTGGCTGTACTGGCGGTCGAGTCGAGCCAATCAAAACCCTTTATCTTCGACACATTCTCGAGCACCATGTTGGACGCTGTCATTGGCATTTTGCATTTTATTGTCGTGTGTCTTGCATCGTGTGGCGATTAAAGTTAGTTTTCAAAGATTTTAGTTAGTTTTCAAGGTTTTTAATAATAAATATGTCGACTACGAAATTTAAAAGAGTTATATACTCAGAAGCAGAATGCCACTGCTTGAGAGAATAATATATAAGAAATTATAAACTAATAATAGAACATCTTTTGTTTAATTTCTATACAATTAACCCTAAAATCAATAATCCCTCTTAAATAAAAGAAAGATATATTAGAAAAAAAAATATTAGAAAAAAATAGAGTAACAGAAATAACTACCAATTTTGTTATTAAAAAAAATAAAAATTTAGTATCAAAGAATGAAAAATTAGAGCTTCAAATAAAATTATTAAAAAACAATTGAATCATCAATCTGTTGTATAATTTCTACGCAATTAATCTAAAAATCCATAAACTCCCTTAAAAATACAAATTTAATTCATTTATTATTAAAAATAATCTTAAAAACCTACATAGAGAACTTGTTGTGCCAAGTCGTCATCTGAAGAATCACTGTCACTGCTATCTCGCCACAACATTTTGTTTCTTTTATTGCCTGATTCATATTCAGATGATGAGGAGGGTAACATTTTCAACTGGAACGCCAGAAACTTCTGGCGTTCCCTTTTAATTTAACCCAGGGCTGACATTCTTATTTTGTTACATAATAAATGACGCTAGGTGTAAGGATATCAATAATTGTATCTATTTGCATCAAGCCAAATTGTGTATTCATGTAACGGAATAAGTACTTAACTATTTTTTTTTAAATGCACTTGTACACTTTTTGCATCTAAACTCTTCATATCTGAATAATTCAAGATTTCCCATGTATCACAAAGTCTTTACCGGTCACTGTACTTAAAACTTTTATCTTATTTGCATTTCGTTTAAACTATGTTAAATATCGTAAATATCAGAAACGTTTATAATCAATACCGAACCGACTAAAAACTTTCCTTTAGAATTTATCAAGCTGCCTCTATTTAACCATATTTCGAAATGTGTTCTACTCGACCTCTGGGGAACGAAACTCGAAAACTTCTCGCTTTTATTAAACTGGAATTATTTTGAACTCATAATATTTCGAGGGTGAATTTTCAATGAATTATAGCTTAATGTCAGCGATGATATTGAATTAAATTAGTAATTTGCATTTATTAAAGAGCGTTTATTCCGTAATATGATTTAATTTGTATAGAAAGTTCGCTATATTACAGAAAATCTAATGAAAAGTGAATATAGTTATTTAATTGACTAAATTTTGTGCTAGTAAAAGGAGACTGATTAATCAAGACAGTTATCAACTCTCATCATTTGCATTACAGTTTTCTTTTTAATTACATCGAATTACTCTACAAAATAATAGGATAAAAGATTGTATTTGAATAAAATATCTTCCAATTTGATGTTAAATTTCCGTTTTAAATTTTAGTTATTTTATCATTAAGAACTATACAGTGGTCGAACAACTTTAATCAAAAAATTGCTTTACTGATTTTTTTAATGCAGATACGTGTTTTTAAAAAATATCCTTTCCATCAAGATGTTTTATCGTTTATTGCATTAATAAAAAATATATCAAAAAGTGAGAATAGTTTTTAATTGACTATATTGTGAAATAGTCCAAATTGCCAATAAGTTATCCAATTAAAAATAATCAAAATTAATACATAATAAAATTAAGTGTGTCTTAGTTTCTAACCTGTAATAAAACAATTTTGGTATTTTCTAAATAAAAATGAAACAATTTACGCCATTATGCAGTCTAAATAATGTCTATACCTCCGTGGCGTGTTTTAATACTCAGCATTTTTTGAAAAAAATCTGAGTATCTTGTAACTCAAAGAGATAAAATCTGGTATTAAAATGGTATATATGGTTATCTCAAATGCGTTTATCTAAATATATAGAAATAATGTCTTTAACTTTGTCGCAGGTTTATTTCTTGAAAAAAGTGGCTAAAGTTATTTTTGCCACTGCAAAAGAAAGGGAAATAAGAAGTTGTTATAAAAAGTCAGAATTTTGCTTTATATAAAATTAATCTATTTTTTTTTTCTATTATATTAAATGTATTATGAATCTTTTTTTCTTTGTGTGATTTATTTAGCTATAATAAAATTATATCAAAAGATAATACTATTGTTAATGCAGTATGATTCTTATTTTCATTATAAATATATATTTTTACGAATACGCATACTAGTAAAA